CTCAGACAATATGAACTACAAGGCAAGGAAAACTACCGTAGAAAAGAAGGGCATTTCCTATTGTCAATTTCAATTGACAAAGGGGTCAATCCCTTAGGTGACACCCATCCTAAGCATGGCTATAGTGAACAGAACTTCACAATACATGAAACAAAAACTGCTGAAGCCTAAGGGAAAGAAAGGCAAACACCAGTGTTGGTTGAAGACTAAAACACACTACTATCAGTAACAGATAGAAGAATACACAGAAAATCACTGAGGACATTGAAGATTTGACCTTCTATGAATCAACTTGACTTAATGGACACTACATTAACAGTGTTCACCCCAAAACAGAAGAACAGGGTCATTAAGTAGTGTGCCCTGGTCTTCCAAGTCTACTGCTTCTTCCTCAAAGGTTGGAAATAATTTTTTTCATCTTTATACCAGAGATATACTTGAAATTGCATTATCTGGGAGGTTTATTCCTGTTAAGTGGTGACTGGAGAAGTCCAGAGAAAGTGAACAGATGTGTTAGGAATCTAGTTTAAGCTTCCATCTACTAGCTTCTTGGTTTCTGTAAACTTTGTAAGGGACTGGGGGTGGGAGTGTGAGTAGGAAGAGATCTGACCTACTGCTATAAATAAATTCTACCAGGATTTTCAGTTAGGTGCCTAAATTGATCCCAGTGGGTGCTCACTGGAGGTGGGACAGGAGACTGCCCAGCCTACCTGGGAACCTTCTTACTGAGTATTCGGTCTGCTGACATTAACTTTAACTGAACTGTTTATACAGAAAACCAGGCAAGTGTGTGGTAAGAGCTGTCGTTTCCAGCTGAAACTGCCCTATGTACAGACTTATTCAAAGAAAGGGATGGGCCCAGGATGGTCACCTGATCCAAGGGCAGCCCACCCATACGCTGACCAATGACCAATCAAGTGTTACGAGGAACCGGGCTCTGACCCCTAGGGTAGCTGTAACAGTAAATGTAGGAAAGTTGTTTCCTCTAGGGCTGGGGAAGGATTGGCTGTTGGCCCAAGAGGCAACCTAGTAAAGGATTCGTGTGCAGTGGATAGTGTTGGCTTTGAGAAAAACAGAAAGAGCAGCTTCTGGTTTTGACAGCTTTTCATTCCCATTCTGTCATTCATTCACCCTTTGGTGCATTCAGTACTCATGAACTGCCTGCCAGTAAAATCAGGCCCTGTGCTAGGTCCCTCTTGAAATGCAATATAATCTCTACTATCCTGGTACTTCCAATCTAGAGATGGATGTTGATAAAATAATGACAGAGAGATTAATTGCTAAACTTTGATGAAATCTAAGCTATAGATAGAGAGATATGAGCAATAAAAGAGGGACTTCTGACCCAGTCTGGGATTCTTCACCCCTGAAGAAGTGACATTTGAGCTGAGATGTGAAGTAGTTTAGTTCAAGGGTGACTTTAGGGAAAAATGTGTTTGAGACAAAAGGCCAGCTCATGTAAAGTCCTGAGACAGGAGGGAACATGGAATTCAAGGGACTGTCAGAAAGTCAGTGTGGCTGTAGAGGAGCAGAGCTGTGCGATAAATGCCCTTCGTATCGCTCCACAGTCTCTACCTAATGTAGCCTGAGTAGATGTCCTTTCGTGCTAATGAAACCCCAGTGGATGAAAGCACCTACTATAAACTCAGGTGTTCAGAGGGGTTCAAAGTCAATGAAATAGTTTCAGAGACCTTGAGTAAGTTACTTGATATCTCCAAGGCCCAGTGTGTATACCTGGAAATGCAGATAAAATCATCCGTGCAGAGTAGTGGTAAGAATTAAATGAGACCTTGTTGATAAACACGCCTCGCTTGGCTATGGCAACGCATAAGGTGTATGGCCACATACTCCTGATATTAGAAATGATTGAGAAAGCACTGGGGTTCATTAAGAACTCACCCTTGGCCCTCCCTGGTGGCACAGCGGGTTAAAGCACAGCACTAAGCAGCTAAAGCCACTTCAGCATGAGTTTGATCCCTGCCCTGGGGGTGACCACAGGGCGCCGCAGACCTCTCCTGACCCCGCTGCTCCCCTCAATAGTGTACTTCTTTGACCTGCCTGTTCTGCTCCCCACTCTGTCTCTGGTGAATCCTCTCACCCTCTGCATTTCTGGCTTGTACCCCAGTTCTGTATGAATAAATAAATCTTTAAAAAAAAGAAGAACTGTAACCATTAAAAAAAAAAAAAAGAACTCACTCTTTTCACACTCTTGTGGAGAGGGGGGCGGGAGAGGGGCCAGGACTGAAACAATGTTCAAAACAAGCTCCTGAACAATGCAAGAGACCCTACAGGGACGAAGCAAGGTAGGACTTGTGTTGCAGGACTTGTGTCGTACAGTGTCTACCACTGTCAAAGCCCAGAGCTTAGGCATCAAGCTTGCTGCCCCAAGTGGGGAGGATCGAGCCAGAGCCTGGGAGGAGAGGGGGGATGGGGAAGGGCTTTGTGTGAGGCTGGGGGCATGGTGCAACTTCAGAGGCCAGCTCCTGTGTGGGACAGAAAGTCAGAGGACCTCAATACTCCTCAAACTCGGGCCTGGGGCACTGGTTGTTTCCACTGACTCGCAGGTCCTAGTAGGTGTATTGTGTTAAATGGATGGAGGGGTGCTGGTTCTCGAGGCACTGAATCGCACCCCTTACTTGCAGTATGTGAGGTCAGGAGGGCCTGTCTGGGGGCTCTGTGCCATCTCTATCCCTGTCAGCACCCCCCAGAGAGACGCCAGCAGCAGAACCAGCATTGAAAATGAGAATCTCGGTGTCCGAGATTCTGAAACAAGAGGCCAAGTCTCCAGTGGTGGGGTGTGGGTTCCAGACAGGACTTAGTCCAGATAGAACGGAGAACTTGGTGAGGTGCTGAGAAGGCAAAGGAAGCCAGCCCCACAGACGAAGCTGCTGACCTGGAGGATGGCAACAGGCGGCACAGGCTTCTCTGTGTACTATACCCACTAGGGCACATTTAACCTTTACTGCCCAAGGGTTGTTTTCTTTTAAACCACTATGAAAATAAGGGTGAGAGAAAGTCAGGTAATTTTAATGAAAACAGGAATCCATATGTGAAATACATACAAGATCCTTAACATGCTCACAGGGAGACTAGAGTTGGGCTCTGAGCTACCTAGGAGCCAGAGCAAGAAATGGGGCAATTGTGAGGTTATGTTGTTCAGAAGACAGATCCCCCAGCAGCCAATCCTAGAACCACACAGACCCCCAGCGACACAGACTCAGCCTTTCAGGGCATTAAGGCCTGAGGGGCATTTTCTCTGGGAGACCCCTGGACACATGAGGCTCCTGCCCACTGTTCCCCGGTGTAAAGCTGCTCATACGTTTGCTGCTCTAGTCAAGCCCAGCTCAGGAACTGGGGTAGAACTGGGTGAGGATGTGGGGGTTTGCGCACAGACCCAGCCGGCAGACAGAAATGGGGAGAACTAGTCTCTGTTCTTCCATTCTTCTTCCAGGCACATCCCGACCTGTGATGTTGCTGGAGACCAGCACTGGTTTTCTTCAAAAGGGGCATGAAAGAACTGGACAACACCTGCTTTAATCCCCCTCTTGGACTGCAAGCCTGTGTGAAGTTGGTCTTGGCAAACTTGGAAGTGTAATTAATGAGAAGACTATTAAGGGAGTGAGAGTTCCAGAGCCATCCCCAGCTGTGGGGCTTCACTTGGCTTACCCTCCAGTGACTCACTGGCTTATGAGCAATCCTCATATGCCTGATTTAGAGGACTTACTCACCCTTCAGAGAAAGACTTTAATGCAATAAAGCAAATGTCAGTAAGTGGGACGCGGCTTAGCACATCACCCAGCCTGCACCCAGCTTCCCACTCCCTGGCTCTCCCTGGTGAGGCCTCTCCAGTTGCAGCACCTGGACCGGCCTGTGCACTGCACAGGCTGCAGGATCTGGTCCAAGGCTGAGTAGAAGCTCAGAGCCGTGAAACAGCAGAACCTCAGGCCTTAGCTAGATCAGGCTCTGAAGTTTGGTCCTCTGAAGGCGGAGATCAGCTCCCAAGCACTGCAGTTAGGGTGAGCACTGGGACCTAGGGCTTCTCCCACCCTGTCCACGGCTACTCCACCACCCTCCCTCGGAAGAAGCCCTGCTTGGAAGATGCAGGTGAGGGGCGTGAGCTGAAGGAAACTACTGAGGCCTCCCCAGTCTCAGTGGCTTTCTTATCTGAAACTTTCCGAGGAAGCTGTGATGGGCCAATTGGGGAAAAGAAAGGCATGTCGAAAGCAAAGCCTTGTGTTATTTGGGAAGGGCTAGGCCACCCTGACGTTGGCTGCCACCTTGCTCTTTGCCAACTTGGGTGCATGGAGGCCTTGTGAACTCCTCCAGTGTCCTTGTGTCAGGGGTGTTATAATAAACCCCAGCCAGTTCCCGGTTCCCCAGTGAGGAAAAAGACCCCATGTGAGGCTGGCATGAGGAAAGTGGTATCGGAAATACATACTGCCTCTTCCTTTACAATACAGTAAATTACTCCGAAGTCAAGTTGACTCAGTGTTGGGTTTAAATCCACTCACTGATTTCCCTAGTTATATTAGAATTAGTTCACAGGGTAAAGGGGGACAGGAACTTGAGGGGACCCTTCACCTAGTTTATTTCTCCATCTCTTGGCTGTTTGGCCAAACAGTTCAAGTGACTGTCACATGCCAGGACCTGAAGGAGGCTGACCACAGGCTGGCACCCAGGCTTGCTGGAGTCAGGCTTGAACGACCATCTAGCTCAGTCTACACAATTCATGCATGAAGAATTCAAGGTTCAAGGTCACGGTGGTCTCTTACAAATGAGCCTTGGGAAGCCTCTCCGTTGGAAGCAGTACTTGCATCACTGTTAAGACCTCTGGCTCCTGAACAGTACATAGTTCCACACCTACAGCTGCATGTGCACCACTGTCACGTTAGCTTGTTTGGAAATAAAACCCCACAAGTAAGCCGGCTCCTCAGGTTAAAGTAGTCTCACTTCACCCCAACTCACCAACAAGCAGCAGCACATTTTTTTTTTCCTTTTACAATTTTTATTTCACACTATAAAAAACAAAACAAAACAAAACAAAACAAAACACCAGTAACATACTGCTTTTCTTCACATTCATATGGATTTTAGGAAATTATTGCCTTTTCCCCTGGAGAGAGAACCTACAGACAAAAACGCAGTAGTACCACATCATGAAATCTGAAAATTCCAGAAGTCAACAGCTTGGAGACAACCCCCAGGGGCAGGGAAAAAAACAAATGTCACAGGAGACAGACAAGCACATGGAAGGACAGCAAGCTGGGGAATGACCTTGGATGCCACTGACCTAGGCAGCAGGCACCCTCTTGCTCCTGGCACCCACTGCCACCACCGCACAGGGGTGGCTTTGGCCTATGGTTTGACTGACTCTTTTCAACTGGCATTGAGTTGCCTCGAGGAATGGTGCAAGGAGAAAGGTTCAAGTATGAGGAAGAATCATGCCAAAGTTCAAGGTCAGGGAAGAGCCCACAGTGAAAAGAAAACCCAGAGGAACCAGTGTCTTGCGACTTCTACCAACCACCTCCACTGGACCCAAGGGAGCTCTCGAGGTTCAAATCAGCATCTACACTGTGTCCCTACAGACCCTGTGGGGTTACTTTCCTGATGAAATGGTGCTCAAGCCTAGGCCCTGAATCACTAGAGGCAGATGCTGAGATTGCCAGTTACAAAAATACAGTAGAAATTGTGCTTCCTTCAAAATGAATTGGCTTCAAAACGGCCTTTTCTCCTGGTCTAGCAACTGCTTTCTCCCCCGCTGCTGCAGGTATTTATTGCCTTACGCTTGAAATGAAAAGGCAAACTTTGAGGTGCAAGGACTGGGCAGTCCCGAGGGCAGGAGGACTGCAGGTACAGTGGGCAGCACACACTGTGCTCTCATGATGGCTTGGCCTCCCTTCGGCCCCGAAGACCCATCCCCGAGTTCAGTCTGAAGTTCGTCTGTAAGTCTGGAGACCCTCACTATCCATCCAGCGCAGAGTGAGGTCTTCGGTATTGCACAGGTATGAAATGTCCGCGAGTTTAAAAAACAAAATCACAGTTGTTCGTAGGGCTGGGCTGGCTCCCCACCCGTTTTAGCAGGACGTGGCTGTGGCCATGGGGCTCCTGCCGAGCTCGGAGACTGCCGAGTGGGTGGGCATTGGCGCCAGCGCTGAGGTAGGGAAGGTACAATAGGAACCCTCCAAGTCAGGGTTCAGTGTCTGCAAATGGGCTATAAAGGAAGAGCCAGCTGCCTCCCCTTGGCAGGAGGGAGCCTGGGGGGTGGGTGTGGAAGGCAGGATCTCGGATTCATACTGCAGGAGCTGGCCCATGAAGCCAAAATTGGGCGAGACCAAACTCCTCCTCTGCTTGATGTAGTCGAAGGCCTCCTTCAGGCGGAACTGCTTGGTCTTCATGAGGTAAGCCATGCAGATGGTGGGCGAGCGGGAGATGCCGGCCTCACAGTGGACCAGGACCTTGCCTCCCTTTTCCCTGACACAGTCTGGAACGAAGAAGACAGGCGGAATGAGTGGGACTGAACCCCAAGACACAAGAATAAAACACAGAGCCACCTTATCAAACTGCCAGGCCTGCTCAACAGCTCGACTCTGATCTGTGGCAGTGAGGGGAGTACTTTTGGTTCTTGGGACTTTTATGATTGTCACAGCTGCTTCCCGCTTCTCCAGATATGCTCGGATTCTGCCACTGGAGCCACGAGACCTGGAATAATCTCTTCCTGGGGACACCGTCTTCATGTGGTTTCCGTCAAAGGGTTTCAAGAGGGCCATGGAAAATCCTTGAGGCTGCCTGCAAGTTTTTATTGGGTATGCTCATATTTCTGGAAGGGTCCCAGGCACCAACAGTGACTTGGAGAAGCAGTTCTTGCTTCTTCAAATTTTATTCTAATGGCGATGACCTAACCCCATTCTGGCAGAGGCCTTCCAGCCTCCCAGTCATCCAGTCTGGCTGTGCCAGGGCGGGATGCTTGGCTCAGCTTCCAGGGTGCCCACCACCAAACATACACTAAATAGCGCACAGCCACTAATTATAGCTCTGGCTAAGTGACGCTTACCAGACAGAGGATATAAATGGCTTGCGCAAACTCCATCTTGCACAACAATGGAGACACTGCTCTAAAGCTGCCCCCATGGGTTAGCATTCTTCAGCTCAATGTGTGACACAAAGGGGGGAAGCCTTCCTCTTCTAATCCACTGCCCCCCCCCAAAAGAGCCACAACTGTTAAAAATAGGAGGGAGAAAAAAAGTCAGATCTACCTACTCATCCAAAGAAAGAACCAAACCCCACAGAATATTAGACCTTCCAACTCCCTGCTGCCAGTGAGGAAGTGACGATGTCACAGGGAGGTAGCTGCCCCTGGCCTTACAGGAGGCCACAGGGTGAAAATGTTTAGGGTGGTTCAGGGCAAGAACCAAAGTTCCCTTACCCGCCACCCTCCTCAAGGTCAACAAGTTTGTAATGGATCTGCAAGACCAGAAAGAGCAAGTTTTTGAGGTGTCGGGGAGGAACCCCGAGTTTCCCCATCAGGAAACCCCAGAGGACACCCCAGAGAAACACATTAAAGCCCCGCCCCGCCCCCCCAATACACAAACTCAAAAGGGAAAAAAGTCCCTGTAAATGATGTCAAAGGGGAGACCCCAGGTCCCAGGGTCATGACTCCAACTCTGCTCTGCTCCTCTGTGGCTTGCCTTGTAGTACAGCTTCTAATTGGCTCAGGGCCACATCCAAGACAGCTCGGAGCCCGGAGCATGCCCTCTGGCCGCAGTCTACCCCACAGGCCCTGGCGCCCCAGTGCAGGCTCGACCCCTGTCCCTCCGGCTCCCGCTGGGCTAGGCGTCTGGGGGAACATCCTGTGTTTTCAAGGTGCTGTGGGCTTGTGTACAGACACAAGAGGGAAAGGGAGGTTTCTGAGATGTGGCTGGGGGTGGTTTCATGACCTCACTGAGCAGCTACCCAGGTAATTAAATAATAGGCTAAGAAGGGCAAGGCATTCCCAGAGACAGGGAAAACAAGTCAAGGATTTCCCACCCCAAACCCATCACTCTGGCTGCCTCTCAGGCACTACGAAAAATCACCTCAACCCAGAGGCTCCGGGGACCAGGTAGCCAGGGCTGGCCTTCCGCCTCTGCTATTTCTCCTGGGCGTTCCATGGAGCAGACGTCATGTGTGGTGACCCACCACATGGCTGAAGGGCGGCCCTTTAATCACTGCTGTGCCTTCCCACAGTGCTCAGAACAAGATGCAGGAAAGCCAACAATGCATAAGTTAAAGAACAAGGACTCTGGAGAGGGAGGCAGACAAAAGGCTAGAGACTGGCACCTGCAAATCTGAGACAGAAAAAAAGCCAGCCCGCCTCCTGAGGCCGAGGGTGAGGGCGAGAAAGAAGGCTCCAGGCCACACAAGTACCTGGAAACCCGAGGCCAGGAGCCCGAGTCCTTTCCAGGCAGAGGCACCAGGGCCTGGCTGTCAGGCCTACACAGTGGAGTAGACGATAAGGGCCTCACGGAATGCAGAAAGGATGCAAAGGATGCCAACTTCTCTGTGTAAAGCACAGAGCTGGAGGCAAGTGCTATCTTTAATCCAAAATTAGCTGGAAATGCAAAACAAATTGCCCCCAAAGCGGTTTGCCAAAAACCGTGGGGCTCACTGCATAAGTAGTGCTCTCTCCATCCTTCTGTTTGCTTCAAAAATAGCCCAGCCTCCGTAGCAGCAGCTAAGGCGGTTTTCCCTCCACCCCACTGCCCCTGTGTGGAGTATCACGCAGGGACTCGTTCCACTTCCCACCAGCTAGAAACAGTAACAAGAGCAGCTGCTGAGGACTGCCATAAAAATATATTAATTCATTTATCTTGCAAATTAAAGCTCCTATGAATAGCAGCTCCAACCCTCCCCTCTTGTCTCTTCAGTGGCTGCATCCCTTTTTGGCTCCTCTGGTAGCTGCACATACAAAACACCTTCTTCCTTGGTGAAGGCGGCCCCCCATCAATCCAACCCAAGAAGGCGTACCCCTAAGGCTCCATGCACATCACAGCCCCTCGGATGGCGGAACATACCTATGAAGTCTATGGCCTCTTGGAAGTGGGAGCTGATGTCTGCCGTGTGGCTGTCTTCCACGGGGATCCACTTGTAGTGCAGCCAGGGCTCGCAGGCCTCGGAGGCCCGCCGCGACACGTTCAGCAGGGCCGTGATGTGCAGGTTGGCGAGGAACTCGCACTTGGACGCATGGTAGGCACTTCCAAGGTAGAGGAACGGCAGGATTTCAACCGGGCTGCCCTGGAAGCAGGGGCGAAAGGACAAGCAGGAAAGATTGGATTAACATGCTCACTGGGGGGAGGAAACCAAGCCACCCACCCACCCTGTCTTAAGTGGGAGGCCCCCTTTCCGGTCTCCAGGTAGAGAGTTCAGCGTCGGGGCAGATCGACCCACAGTGAGGGCGAAGCCTCCATCCTGGCAAGCTCTCTGCCCTCCACTACCTCTGCTGACTCAGTGACAGCAAACCCCACACAGCAAGGCTTTTCGTCTTCCTATGCGTGGAGGTGGGAGCTGCCATTAGCTTTCCGGTGCAGATGAGGATTCTGGCAGTGAGGGGTGACGGGGAGATGAAGGACCTCTGAGAGCAGGGGTGCGAGTCCCCTCAACTTGGGCAGCCTGGGTTTCTTTCTGAATAAAACGGGGGAGGCTGTAACGGGTGAGCCCTCCCCTCGACAGCCCTCGCAGGCCGTGCGTTGTCTTTCATCAAACCTCAGAGGCGGCCAGATTTCCGTGACCCAATGACAGAAACACGCTTTTTAGAACTGAAATATTACTATTTCTCCCCCACAAGAATCCTCAGACAGAGCAAAGCTGGAAGGCCTCAGCAAAGGGGCTTCCCCCACCCCAGCTTTTCCAAATGGGCTGAGCACTGGGTGGGAAATGCTTACACACACCAGGCTTCTAGGGAAGGGAGAACCAGAGACAGCCCCAGGCCACGCTAGCATATCGCAGTGCTGCCCAGTGGGGTTCAGCACTTACAGGGGCGTCCTCAAGGAGGAGCCAGTGGGAGCTCCGTGCAGAGGGCAAGGGCGGGCAGGGGACAGTGGCTGTGTCTTTGGGAGGCTTTTCCATCTCATCCATCCACTGCCTGTGCCTATCTCCTGCCTCATGTCTGCTGACGGGGGAAGGGGCACATGGTGAGGGCAGCAGTGGACACTTCTCAAATGACCTGGCACGTGGAACTGGCTTTTCCTTCTCTGAGAAGTAAAACTGTTTAAGCAAATACCAGCCAGCCACCTGAAGAAAGTTAAAGAGGATTTTACAAAAGATAATAGCAACTGCCAGTCTTCATTAGCACCTACTCTGGCTGCCCTGGCTCTCAAGGCCCCTCCGTCCAGCTCTCTCTCTCACACACACACACACACACACACACACCAGGCTCACAAGGCCCCTCCGTCCAGCTCTCTCTCTCTCTCACACACACACACACCAGGCAAAACACTGACACACTGGGACACTGGGCTTGGGAACCCATCCAATTTCTTCTGGAGCTCAGCCCAACAAACACACCCCCGAAACTATGTTTCTTTCCTTTTCTGACTTCTGTTTAGACTCAAGAAGAAGAAACCAAACATCTTCACAAACCCCAAAGGTTACCAACAACCTCGCCTAACTTCCCTCCAGGAAGAAGAGCTTCTCAGAAGTAGTACTGGGGGTTCCCCAGATGAGGCTTGGAGACATGGCAGGGCCTCCCTGCCAGCCAAAAGTCCTCTATGCTTTCACAACAGCCTGCCAATTCTTGTTTCTCTTTCACTTTCTGAGAAACTGGGGGAAAATACAACCCAAACAAACAAACAAACAAAAATAGAAACCCAGCCAGGCCGGATGCCCGTGACTTAAAGTCAAGGGTTCATCATATGCTCAGTATTTTTAATAAAGGAAAACAAGATAATAACCAGGCATCTTGCCAGGCTAACAGGCTTCCTCACCAAGGATCCTGTTCAAGGAAAGGTCAGTCACCTGGCTGTCCTCAGAAGTCTATTCTCAGGGACAGAGCTCCGTTTATGGCAGGGAGCTGGCCTATTCAGCAGCAGAACCTAGAAGTCTTCCTTAAGATTTGTACATGTCCTACTTTACGCGGAAAACTTGAAAAGTTCCTCCCATCAAATACAGTGCCCTGCAATGGCCCTTTCCTGAGAAGGTGTGCAAAACAGAACGAAGTCCTGGAAAGGACTGGAACAAGTTAAGAAGAAGGGGGAGGTTTCTGGGTTTAGTGCTGCCATGAACCCAGCCGCAAGGTTCCTGCAGGGCGACCTACTTACTAGCCCGGAAATGTTTTGTTTGCCCTGCAAAATGAGAAGGTCAGTTCTGATTCTGCCACATATGGGTTCCTGCCATCTTTTTCCTTATCCTCCTCCTGTGTCACTGGTAAATCCCCAACTGAGCTTCCCATTCATTTTTCCTTTAATGAGTTGTCCCAAAGTGCATTGATTTGAAGTGGAAAAGCCCACAACTTCATGGAAACATGAAGTTCCCTCTTACCTCCCAGATCTCCCCTGGTTCCAGAACTGATGGAATTAGAAGCATGAGAAACCTTTCAGAAGACCCTGCTTCGCCATCCAAACAGAAGTTTCTCTTTCACCCTCCCTCCTCTGCCTTTACCCCCACCCCATTTCAGTCAAAAATGCCAAGGAGACCTGCCTTGACAGGTACTGGGCTGGTCTGCCGAAACTGCGGAGCATGAACAATTAGGAAGAGGATCAACGCAGGAAGCCTGAAAGTCAGCTTGGAAAGGTCTTCAGGAAAACCCAGAGCATAATTTCATTTTCTGCACACCTCCCGGGCCAGCTAATCATCACGTATCTCTCACTTCCCCTTTCCCCCCAGAAGCCGTTGAGCATCCGTTGGCTCATTTGCTCTTGTCAGCCTGCTTGCTGGAAGGAGGCCCATTTTCTCTTGGATGGAAACTCAAGTTGGCAAGTCAGGCTCTCTAAAGCTCCAGGTCTCTGCCAACACCCCAATCCACAAAAGCAGCAGCTGAGGTAGCTGAGCAGGAGAAGAAAAGCCAGGGCAGCAAGGAAGGCGCAGAGCCCGGAGCTGGCCACGTCGGCAGACCCACCTGGTCATAGGCCGGCCTGTAGCTGGTGCTCAGCGCTGGCTTCCCGCACTGGCTGATGAGGGCTCTCTCGGTTTCCATTTTCTCTTGTGAAATGGGCTTTACATCCACACAGCATTCAGGATATTCAGAATAGAAAGTCTCATATCCCCCTACAAGAACAAAAAAAGAATCACACAAATGTAAGCATTGATTTCTTGGGCTGTCAGAAATGCTCAGAATGAATCAATACCCCGACTATGGAACAGTCAAAAATATTGAGCTAATATAGATTCTGGTCACATAAAAAAAAAAATTGAGCCAAAGCAACTAACAGTTTTAGAATAGGAATGAGGTCTGTGCATGTACACATACTAAAAAACAAAAAACAAAAAAACCCAGTGGCCTCCCTGGGTAAGACACAGCACTAAGAGGCTGTCCTCAGTCATTGAAGCATGAGTTGGAGCTCCAGCCTGGGAGCTGACCCACACAGCAGACCTCTCCAGTGCCACCTGCTGCCCCCCTCAGCAGCGTATTTCAGTAGATCCACCTGTTCTGTTGCCCACTCTGTCTCTGGTGAATCCTCTCACCCCTTGTACCTTTGGTCTACACCCCAGTTCTTGAATAAAAACAACAATATATTTTTAGTTCTTAAAATATATTCGTTATACCATCCTTCATGTTTGTATAATGTATGGTTTCCCAATAAAAATAAACCTTAAAAAGACTCAATAGCCCCTAAAGACAATGATTAACTATTTGTGACTATCAGAGGTGGCCTAAACTGTAAAAAGAAATATTTGACATCTGGCAAACATTAACTGAATCCTTGCAGAAAACAAAAGCTGTTTTCTCTTTTGTTTATCTAAAATGCAGGTGTGATTAAGCAGAATTTCACTATTTGTGAGAAGAAAGCAACTCTTAAACTGGTCTGCCCCCTCTGTGGCCCTTCAGTTCCAGGCAGGATTATAGGTGCAGCCTGCCCCCTTCACAAGGGGCTGGGGGCCAACGTGAGGCTTCAACTCGAGCAATAAAAGTGCCTTGCCCTTTCTCACACGCAAGGTGCTAAGGGTACTAAGGGCAACCCGTCTATTGGTCCCATTTAGAGCAATCAATCTAGTTAATTACCTTCCAAACCAAACTGCAGGAAAGGCCTGAATTTAGCTCTAAGCTCCCACAGTAAAAGCTGTAGTTAATATAAACTCTCTCTCCCCTATGACCACCTACCCACCCCCTTCCTACCTCCAGATCACCCTCCCTTCCTGACCTTCGACCTCCCCCACCCCCTCAAATCAATTAAGTCAACTGCTAGCAAGTATAACTGTAGACATCCTTAATATTACATTTAAGCTTCTCCAAATGGATCGCTTGAGGTAAAAAAGGACTCTGACCACATCACAGAAACGAGCATCTGCACAAGTCTTCTCAGGGTTGACGCACTTTGTAGGGAAGAACCAAATGGAACCTTGGCCTCAGAATGCTCAGACTGCCCAGGGGCGATGGGTGAACAGGCCAGTTTTGCTTGGGAAAAACCTGTGCTCCCAGTGAAAGCAATCCAAGTCACCTCCTAGAGTCTCCAGAAAACCCACTTCTATCTTCTTCTATCCCAAAAAATCCACTTGTCTTAATTCACTTGTCTAATATGTGCATTCTGAGACCATGTATTTTCCCCCAAAATCTCTTTCTTGTCTGCCTTTGGTGTGGAACTAACCCTCCAGTGGAGCACATGTCTTTGCAAAGCCCTGCGACAGGCAAAGGGTTAAGGGACTGGCCAACTCCAGCTCCCTCCCCAAAGCTGCCTCCGATTCCTAGAATGAGTCATCTAGCCATTACTGCTTCCGCTCAGCTTGCTGGAAAGGCCTCCACCCCCATTTAGTACACCCAAATCTCCCCTGTGGTCACTTCACCAAATAGCCCATGGGGCCTCCCTTGATGAAGATCCACAAAGACCTTATTCCTAGTGGTGACAAGGGAGGCCAGGGGAGGAGAGGATGGAGACTGCAGGTGGTAGAGAGGTTAGTGGCTTAGCTTCTCCCAATTCCCCAATTAACTCCTGCCCCTTCCCCTAGGAGACAGAGACTACCAGACTGACACTGACCCCCGCAACTTCCTCAGATGAGGTGTACTGACCATAGCAAGGAAATCACTTCCTGAGCCTGGGCCTCGACACTTTGGGCTCCAGGAAACAACAGAGCGATGTGGGGTGGAGATCTGGAATAACGGCCCTGGCACTCCCAGATGAGGCTTGGCTTGGGAAAGAGAAGCTTTCAGGCCACCCATCTCCTGGCTTTAAATAAAGCACTTAAGAGTTGGATGTCAGGAGACAGACAGGAGGACAGACAGGAGGTGCGGGTGTGGGCTGGGCCCTGCCTGCCTGTTGACAAAATAAGGCAGGCGCACAAAGAGTCTCAGTGTCTTTGAGGGACAGATAAACAGGGCCCGGCCTCTTCCAGCTGGGGTCAGGATGAGTCCTCCAGATTAGATGGTCTCTGTCTTTCACCCACTCCCAGCAGAGGCGTGGAGAGACAGAACATTCCTCTCTCGTGCCTCACTTCAGTTGCAAGAGCCCTGGCAATTCTTTTGGCTGCTTCAACCCACTTCAGAGTGACTCTGTTTTCTATCACCAAGGCATTACCAGGGGAGCACTGACACGATATATAAATACACACCCTCAACGCCACTGGATCATCATTTCATTTCAGTGGGGTCTTTGTTTGCGGGAAGGGGCTTGAGGGGAGGTTAAGAAAGTATAAAAGATATTGTCCCCAAGATTGGGGATGCCACTAGATAAATACCAGAATTTGCATCTTAGACAAGAATTACATAAGGAAATAAACATGTTCTTTGACAACAACCTAAGGCTTAGTAGGGTTAATATGGCTATATGACTCAAATTTAAAATGTACTGTACTTTCAACCTAGCAATGATGATTTCACTGGAAGACCATATACACACAAAAGCATGTGACAAAGATTTTCTGCCACCTTGCTTCAAATGGCGAAGCAGAAACAACCCGCTAGCCGTCACCAGGGGGGGGGAATGGTTAAAAAAAGAGTAACAGACACGTAGGTTGATAGGGAGAAATCATCTTGGATCTAGTTGGGTAAGAGAGGCAGGAACAGAAAATACACAAAAGCATCCTATATTTAAAAGACTCACAAAAAATGAACTTATTTGAACATGAACAAATAGTTATCCCCAGGTAAGGGAGCCACGTTCAGGAGTGGACGGAAGATGGATTTTTCATTGTACAGCCTTTGTGTAGGTCTGCAGTTTTTACCTGGGTGTTTTCACTTAAAACCGTTATTTCAGACATTCATTTTCCTGAAATGTGGGATCTACAGAGCCACCTCGAATGGAAATAACTTCTAAGCTGTGAGAATGGACTTCCCTAGAGAGGGTAGGGGAGAGGGAGGACCAGGAGGCATTTCCTGGAACATGTTTTTCATGTTACTGGGAGGCTTTTCCTTTTCTCACTGCTAAGAAGAACAGGACACAAAAACCACATCAGGAAGAGACAGAAGTCAGAAGACATGTGTGCAGCCTCTAAAAAGCTTGGAGAGTGGAGCATCCCTCCATCCCCTGGGGACCGAGGTTGCAGGAATAAAAGCAGATTACCCTCTGCCTCGGTCACCTCCCCAACTGGAAGCTACAGGGCCCAGGGAGCAAGACGAGCTAAGCCGCCAGGTACCTCTGGAAACCCCTGGTCTGGGGTGTGAAACCTGCATGATTTAAAAACAGGGTCCTAACTGTGAGTTCACCGTTCTGAAGTACTGACCCACCCCCAAGGATCGGGGCTAGCAGGGCCTTGGGGCAGATCTGGGGCTGAGCTCTCTTCTCTGCACTAGGTCTTCCATTCATTAACTACTCCAAAGGACTCCAAATACTAGGCGGCACAGTCATAGGAAGTGACCCAGAAACCAAGGTTCTGAGTTTGAAAGTTAATCAGCCGCCTACTACTACCGGAAGTTAAAGTCATCTCTCCAGCAGGTGTGGTGGTGCAGCTTGGGGGGCTGGGGGGTCCTGGTTTCTAACCAAAGGGAATGGAATACCCTCCGACTTGGGGCACCCCTGCTTGGTTCCAGATAGCTGGCCTCAGGCAGTAGGGTTTGCTCCGCTAAGCTCTCAGGACCCAGGCAGCAGAGGGAGGGGAGGGGGCGAAAGGGTGGGAAGGCTGTCAGCTCCAAATTGTGCTACAAAAAGGCTGGCGAAGGCCGGAGGAAAACAATAAAAAGCAATAAAACGAAATGGAAAGGAAGAGGAGGGGCTCACTAGGGTCAAAAAGGCAAGAGGGGTCGGTGAAGACAGAGCCTAATGCGCGCAATTGTCCTGGCGGGAGGAGAGGGGACATCCCGGCGCCACGCTCCCGGGGCTGGCGGAGGGGGGAGAGGGGTCGCGACCTGCCGATCCCGCCAAATCCGTCTAGGAAGATTCAGCGCCCAGGCTCCGGCGGGCGCCGGGGAAAATGGGCCCGCGCCCCGCAGGCGCCGACGGCGCTGGAGCGCTGGGAGCAGCGCCCGGAGCAGGTAACCCACCCCGCCGAAGCGGGCGCACCGACGCGAGCTTTCGAGGAACGCGGCTAGGGACGAGGGAACTCGGCACTGGCAGCCTTCACCCGCGGGCCCGCGCGGCCCCACCGTGCGGGCTGCAGCAAATGGGGCCCCCCGGGTCCCAGGAGGGGGGG